CCAGGGCTCTGCCACCCTTAAAGGAAAGAAATTCCTCCTCCTGTTTAGGTGGAATTTCATATATTCAAGTTAGTTCCCATTACCTCTTGTCCTGTCCCTGGGCAGCACTGAAAAAAGACTGGCCTCATCCTCCTGACACCCACCCTTGAAGTATTTATAGGTGTTGATCAGATCCCCCCCTCAGTCTTCTCCAGACTTCTCCAGTCCTCCAGACTTCTCTTCTCCAGATCCTCATCCTGGTTTTGCAGTTGGGCTGCATCTACCCCACTGGTTCAGCCGAGGAAGCGCTGAGATTTGCTTTTCAGACACACTCATTGTAATGAGACGTTGAAATTGCAGTGAGCTCAGAAACCAGTTCACCAGAATCCAACAATGCTACGGAAAGTCGACCACAAACAGGTCTACAATGATAGCACACAGAGTGAAAATTAATATGTGTCCTGTATATAATTGCCTTCATGCCTCATTGCAAAAGCAGTAGTTAAACATTCTTGTATTGTGAGTAATTTCCTATTCACAGTTTGTGGGAAGGCATAAATGTAAAGAAACCAGGTTTGGGGTCCCTTTGTTGGGTTTTTTGTTTTGTTTTTAAGTCTGCTAATTTCAATTCACGAACACCATGGGAGCCTGCAATTCCAATTTTCTTTTCACAGTATTAATGAAAACTGGGCACTGAAAATAGTCAGATTTTCCCCTCTAAATTTTAAACCACTTAGAAATACAGTCAAGAATAATAACTTTCTAATCCATTATTACACAATGTAAAACTGTGCTCAGTTGCTGTTATTTCATGCAAACTTTTTCCTAAGTGGTGGAAGAGGCTTTTGAAAACCAGTCTCTTCTAAGCTGGGCTTTGAGGCAATTCAAAAAGGCTATTAAGAGGACAAGGTGCACATCAGGGAAGTGAAGAAGGGATCATTGCACCACAAGATGACTTTGTTTCTTCTCACTGTGGCATGGTCCAAGCATAATTACAGTCCTTATGATTGTCTTCTTGTTCTTAATCAAGCCATCTTCAACTTATTATAGATGTTTTCAGGATTTTTTGGGGATGACTTTTTGTTCTTTGAAATGGGGGTAGTTTTGATGACATTTAATGTGAACGTTCACGTAAAAGGTAGTTTGCTTCTTGTTTACAATAAGAAACTTCATCTGGGATGAAGTCAGTGTCTTTTTTGATGCTGCAGATGCTAACAGAGACTGTAACTGAGTAGCAGACAAGGTTACCCTTAGACATACCTCTGGTGCTGTGCTGGTGCAGCCAGCAAGATGCTGGGAGGAAAACTGCACCGTGTGTTTCTCAAAGAGCTGGGAAGCGAAGAGCAAGATTTCCATAACCTTACAATCTTCACTTGCTCTTCATTAAGATCACCCATTGTCCCTTGCAATAGTTCTTGTCTTGCGGGGGAAAAAAAATCCAGTTAAATTCCCCTTGAATCTTAGTCAAATAACGGTCTTACTTAAATAGAAGGCAGCCGTTTCAGCAATGTTATGGATGTGGATTTGTTTATTTGCAAAGATTTCAGAAGAAGTGCAGGCTGGCCAGTTTTCCCAGTGGCCTTTTCCTCCCCATCTCTGAACAGGACACTTGCTTTAGCCCGTGCTCCGTTCGCCCTTCCTACCTAAAACACTCACAGACAGCCCCACGTGCTTTGTAAAACTTTCCTCTTATTTCCTCCTACTTCATTTCTCTTGCAAAGGCCCTGCTAGGTCCTGCTAGGATATTTTAATGTAAATGGAAGAAAAATAGCAAGAAGTCATTTCCCTTGCTGAACTGCTCCTTTTACAGAAGTCCAAACAAATGTAACAACAGATGCTTTGAAAATGTTTTAAGTTTAAATAACATTAATGTAGCGGTTGAATATTCCTCAGACAGATGGGATAAATGAGATAATTGTGAAAACATTCTTAAAAATAAAAGGATGCCATCAGGTGAAAGGCAGGAGTTTAGGTAACGTTGAAAAATATTCTTTACGTGGTTTTTTTTAGATTGCAATGTTAAAAGAATGTTTCCCTCTGAGCAAGCTGTTAGGTGTCATTTAGTAGACATTAATTGTAAAGTTAGTTGACGGCATTTGGCCCAAATGTCTGTATTTTAAAGAGAAAGAGCAGCTGTTAGTCCACCAGGTATTGACAGAGTTTTATTCAGTTGCTTCTATTATTTCTCAGAAGTTAATTTCCTGAAATCACGTGCAGTGAGATAAGAGTTTGTCTCATTTTCATTCGCTACGGAAATGCTCAGGAGTCTTTATTCTGCACCAACGCATTGTCTCTTGTAAAACAGTAAGTGACACCCTATGTGTAAAAGAACTTCCATTTTCTACAATAGCTACAATGAAGAAACAGGATCTAAGCCAGCCACTGATGACTCTGGGACAGACCACATTTCTTGGTATCTACCCTGAAATGAGAAAAAAAATCTTAGAGTCTTCTCAAGGGAAAGTTCAAGATCTCTTGGGTAGTCATAGAAAATACCAACTCGGAACAACTAAGAACTTTCAGAGGGGGGAAGGAAATAATTAAAATACTGTTTGACACGAATGACAGTTTTCTTGAGTCTTGCTGTGGTGCCTCTGTTCTCTCAGGCAAATAAAATGTCACCTTCTTTAAACCTATGTGGGATAACTGCCAGGAAGTGGTGTTTCAACAGTAGGAACACAAATCACCAATAAATAAATGATGAGTAATACCAAGGTGGCGAGGGAACTTAGTTCTTCTGGGGATTTGTGGCTTTTTTTGCTGTGTTTTATTATTCATAGGCCAATAGTGGATGTCTGTCACTGGTGGCTGCTTTTAATTCTGGTTGTCCAAAATCGTTGCAATTTTTTGACCTGTGTAAATAGTTTTTGTGGCATTACCTTTAGTGGTAATCCTTAAAATCGGCATCTTCCTGTTATGTCTTTGCAGTGCAAAAAAAGTGACTATGGGCCATGGTACACTGCTGTGCACCTTGAGCACGACACTTCACTAATACACTCCAGGGAAACACCAGGTGTAGGCAAGGCCTGATGAAGCTGATATTAGGAATATGTTGCAAACCCAGTGTTTAATAGTACTCCTAGTTAACATTTCTATTTTACTGACTGCATTTTTCAGCCCTGCATAATGATTTAAACCGCAGTTTCTATGAGCCAGCCTGGATGCTTAATGAGAGTGTTCTGCACTTCTTGGTGGGACACCTTGGTTCTCTTTTCTTGCTCCTGAGCTGAGGCAAGGCGGGTAGTGCTGAGGGCACACAGCCTCTCAGGGGTCTGGAAATCTGTGTGCTGTTCTGGGCTCCCAGTTCCAGAAGGACAGGGAACTGCTGGAGAGGGGACAGCAAAGGGCTACGAGGATGAGTAGGGAACTAGAACATCTCTCTTATGAGGAAAGGCTTAAGGACTTGGGTCTTTTTAGTCTGGAGAAGAGAAGGCTGAGGGGGGATCTGATCAATGCTTATAAATACTTAAAGGATGGGTGTCAGGACAGTCTCTTTTCAGTGGTGCCCAGTGACAGGACAAGAGATAACAGGCACAAACTTGTACATAGGAAGTTCCATCTAAACATGAGGTACTTCTTTCCTTGAGGGTGGCAGAGTACTGAACAGGCTGCCCACCTGGGCCACCCAGGCGGTGAAATCTCCGACTCTGGAGACATTCAGACCTTACCAGGACACATTCCTGTGCAACCTGCTCTAGGTGGACCTGCTCTGGCAGGGGGGTTGGACTACATGATCTCCAGAGGTCCCTTCCAACCCCATATCACTCTGTGATTCTTTGAAATGCTGGTTAAAGTCAGAGGAACGTTGCACAGACCCGGGTCAATTCATTTTTGTCCGTGACACTTGCTTAGTTACAGAAGAAGATCCATCTCAGCTATTACCACTTAAAGTGGTTCTTTACAAAGGTCTACCTCTCCTCCTTCTCCCAAATGCAATAAAGAAAGGAGATGATGGGAAATGCCCAAGCATTGTGTGGGCTGTGAGCATTTAACCTAGAAGTTCCTCCTGGAATTAGGCTTTCATTCCACATGGCTGAGCAAGGGGACAAAATGTGCCAGACAACACAATAGTTCCTATCAAGAAGACTTTACAGTCTGAAGACATAGGTCAGTTCAGTTCACAATTGAAAAGACCGGAATCTGGCCTGAGAGGTGGGTTCATAGAAGACTGAGCCCTTGCTCTGGGCAATTTTAGAGTTTTTTTCTGGGCATAAAACGTTTCTTGAAGGAATGTCTGGTGTTGGCATCAGTGCCAGAAAGAGGAATGGGAGAAGTGGAGTGAAGAAGTGCTCTGAAGTGTAGCCCTATCCAAGCAGGACTCTGTGAATTAGAAAAGAGGAGGTAGGGTTGGATAGCTCTCTTAAAGTAATAAAAGTAAATATAATTAATTCAGGGGAAAAAAAGAAAAAATATTGGAAGGAAAAGAGAAATTGAGAAGCTTGCTGAGGGAAGTGTAAAAGAAAGCTGAGGATACCTTATTTGTGGCCAACTTATTGGATGCTGTCATTTATTGTTAGGGGAAGTTTTTATCTTTTTCCCTCATTCTGTTTGGTAGTGTGTCTTATCATCACTGTCTTCTCAATCAGTACTATAGTGTCACTTTCTGTTCTTTACAGAAGGTGAGAAAGAGAGAGGGAGGGAGTGGGAGAGGGAGGAACTTTCCTCCCAGATGTTAGTGTTCTGGCATTTAAATTGTGGCACGCCTGTTATTTCAGATTATTTAGGCACTCTTTGCTTAATAACAGCATTTGGAGAAATTATAGTTTTGAAGGCTGAAAGAGATGTTCCTTGCTGTCCTTTTCCTTGTTTAAAAGCCTGTTTAGTCGTGCTGACAGATGGGGAAATGGAAAGGGCTGCAAACCTGGATGGTTTTGGACCATACTTTAGGGTATGTTGATAGGGGGTCCAGATCTAGTGAGCACAATTAGAAGGATGCATGTCTGTAGCAGGTAGATCTGACTTAACTCCTCAACGTGCAAACTGGGTAATAACCTCTCCCTTATTTCATTATCTCCCCACAGCAAACCCTACCAGGGCAGGAGGAGGAAGGGAGTACCCTGGCTCGTCCGAGGTGATTCGCGAATCCAGCAGCACAACGGGCATGGTGGTCGGGATCGTGGCGGCGGCGGCGCTGTGTATCCTCATCCTCCTGTATGCTATGTACAAGTACAGGAACCGAGACGAAGGATCCTACCACGTCGACGAGAGTCGAAACTACATCAGTAACTCAGCACAATCCAACGGGGCTGTCATCAAGGAAAAACAGCCCAACAGCGCTAAAAGCTCCAACAAAAACAAGAAAAATAAGGATAAGGAGTACTATGTCTGATCTCAACATCTAAAAGAACGCTTGTATAGAAATAGTCTTCATTTTATCTGAGACATAATACAAACTTATTTACTTTACTTTTTATGAAGCACATTCAAAAAACAAACAAACAAAAAAGACAGGGAATGCAATCAGAAAGGAAAGACTGTTTTTAAAAACAAGCATTTCACGCTCTTGTTTTTCAGAAACAGGAGCTGATAAATTCCCTAACATCCACAGTGTTTTCATTTACTCTGCCTGTCTTTATGTTGCTGGAACATTTCTGAAAGACAATGATGATGACACCACGCACTCATAAAGCAAGGAGTATTACTACAACATCGAGGCACAATATGAAACAAAACAAATTAAAAAAACAAAACAGGAAAAAAAAAGAAAAAAAGAAGCTACCTATGATTCTGGATTTAGCCAAAGTGCTAGCGCTTTCTTGAGAAGTAAGTTAGTCTTATTGTCAGAGAAGACTGTCATTAAATGTGGTGACTCAACAAGCAAACATAAAGAGTTTGCCGTCTGGTGCAGTGAAGCAGTGATTGGAAACTTGCAGTTGAAACAAAGTGCTGGCTTTTCTGAAGACTTACGTAGAAATACTTTCAAAAAGCCCCTTTCTGGTTGTGAGGAAAATAGTACGGAGGCCTTATTTTCAAAAACAAAAACAAAAATCTGGAATATAAGGCACAAAAAAAAAAAAAAAAGAAAGAAAAAACAAACAAGAGGGCATAGATGCAATCATTGGGAAATTTTCATGCACGCTTAATATGTTATTACATATGTTTATATAAAAACACATCTATATGTGCTTTCTGGACTGTGATAAGTGATGTTTTATAGCCTGTTGTATAGAAAATGCAAACTATATCTGCTCTTCAGCCATTTTTGGTAAACTCAATGTTATAAGTGTTGCTAGGTATAGAGAGTTTTATGACATCTGGAGCAACAGACATACTTCAGTTTTTTTGCAGCCATTATAAATTGTCCCAGACTTCTTCCCCTTTTTTTTTTCTTTTTTTTTCTTTCTAATTTTTTTAATTTACAGTGTAGTGGTTATACTAAGGGGGATGTGTATGAATGTATATAAGAGTCAGCTAATTTTTTTCTTACCTGTACAGCCTCTATTCCGTTGCAATTAAGTTTCAGTAGTTTGTATGAAAGAAGTGGACTAGAAAGCAAAACTATATCTCTACTGTAATTTGTCTTCTCCCTCCTGTCCCCATCTCTTGCTCCTGATATGCATCAATGAAGTTGATCAGAATGGCCAATTTTCCTAGAAATACACATTCATTAATTAGCTAAATATTTAGTGACTTAAACTGGCCTTCGGCTTCCAGTCAAAGCTTCACTATTGGAGAGCATGGTTTGCCTTACAGAAACCTTGTTCTTAAGAAATTATGAGAATGATGAGTTTCTTGAGAATCTTAGGAAGTATCGTATAGTGTTTATCTGGCATTCAGTTGTATGAACGACAGCTACTACAGCATTGGGTGATAAAAAGATCTCAGATGACCCATTTTAATTATCCAGGCTGATTCTACTGCAGAATTTACCCCTTTCTCCAAAAAGGAAATAACGTTGAGGTGCACGATAGTATTTTTCAATGGTGGGCATTTTGACATATGAAAAAGTATTTTTAGCTAAGTTGATTGTGTAGTATTGCAAGACATCATAACCAGACAGATATAAGTTCATCATGTTTTAAAGTAACACATAGCTTTTCTTGCATATATAAAACATTAATGCATTTTAGTTAAACATATTAAATATAATGCCGTAATTTACATGTTAAGTTTTTTTTCTAGTGTTATTTCATTAGGTTCACAGCAATAAACCATAGCATAACATTTTATTTACACAGAAGTTCAAAGGGAATACATTAGGCAGAAAGAGGGTAGTTCAATAGAAATCAACCAAATCATCAGGCGGCCTCCTGGGAGGGATATAGATGTTCACACTTTTACAGACAGGAAGGAGGAATTTAAAATTAGCTTTAAACAGCAGGCACAAAATATGTTGTTGTGTGTTATTCACTGTAGCTGATGAAAAAGGCTGGAAACTGGTACAGCTATCTATCTGGGAGTCAGAGCACTTTAAAAACACACGTAGCTGACATGAAAACACCTCTCTTGAAGGCTGCCAACCCCATTGAGGTGTGTCATGTTGCGATCGTAAAACGAATTTTAATTTTCATTAGCATTTACGCAAAAAAAAATAATAATGAGAACAGGTTCACAAAATCCGTTTGATGTTCATTCCTTAGATGATCGTTCACCTGTGGCATTCAGAATTCTCCCACCTTTACAAGACAGCTGTACTCAGGGAATGGCAGGGTCAGGTCTACTGGAGGTCGTTGCTGGAAGCAAGAGACTTCAGCTGGAGGGGGGAAAGAAGAAGTTGAAAGCCAGGTGGTGTTCAGATTTCAGTGCTTGAAGGTACGTAGAGGAACAAGAATAATCTGATGACAGGAGACTGGACGTGGCAGAATATGGTTTGGGCGAGATGAAATGGTCTTTTCTGCTCTGTATTGATTGCATTAACGAAATAGCATGGTCCTGTCAACTTCCAGGCAGTTTGGTAGATTAATCTTTAACTAAATCCACACATCAAGGAAAAAAAATAATCTGCTACTACTATAATAAGCAAACACGATTTTAACACTGTTTCTGAAGGTTCTCCTTTTTCCTCTTTAATTTCATAATACAACAAAAAACAAATATGGATGTATCAGAAGTGCCAGCAAGTGGATTTAAATTCCTTTTTGTTTAAAAACAGCAGCAACAAACAAACATACATAAACCAACTACCTAACATAAAATTGGATCCTTTCTCTATAATAACCTAATTTGTTTGACTGAGATGGCTTCATTTCTATGACTGTATTGTGTTGCCTTTTTTAACAAAACACTAAATAACGTGTGAAACTTTCAACCCTAAGACATCAAAGAGAGGCCCAATGCCCCTAACCTTATAGTGCTTTCTGTGATAGATATTTACGATTTTTTTATTTGTTGCAAGGCCAATTTATTCATTATTGGAAATGCTAAGCAAGTGGAATTTACTGTTTTGTTAATAAAAATGTTTCTTAATACAAATGATGGCTTGTTTCTTCTCTTGGTCGTAGATCTGGAGTACCTGTTCATCCTAAAGCAGTGGAAAAAAAAAAGGCAGAGTAGTATGAAGTTACAGAAATTCATGTCAGGAAGAAGTGACCTCGCAGCCATTTGTACACTAAAGTGAAAACCTTCTACAAGTCTTGTGTTCAACTGGCCCTGTTAGAAAAGTATGAATTACATTAATGCATTGTTTGGTTTTGCATAGAGTTACTTCATTTGAAATTTTCTAGCTTTTTTTTTTTTTTTAATGAAGAAATTAACATTTCATGTTCCTCTTCCCCTATGGATGAAAAAAAAAATTCCCTTCCTTTTCTGCCACTTTTTGTTTTTTTCTGATGGAAAGAAGATGGCAGAAGGTAAGGTTAATGGGATGAAAAGTTGAAAGGGAAAATATTTTCTCTTGTCTAGAAGATGGTTTAAAAAGTAATGGAAAATGAATGTATTTCAGGTCATTAAAAACATTCCTAGATAATAATTACAAAATTTCAACCAGAGCTAATCCATTACATAAGTACTTTCCTATTTAGCATGGCATTTAAATTCATGGGTAACTTCAAGCAAACATCTAATCCTATTGACTTAAGCAAGTGTCTAAAGTTGCCTAAATGTATTGCTGAATGGGGATGGAGTTAAGCTTTTGGATCTAAACTCCAAATAGAATTTAAGTATGTATCTTCTTTAATCACATCAGTAGCTTCTTTGACTTCAATGGGATTTATTCATCTGCTTAATTAGGTGTAGACTGAAGTATTTTAGATAACTTAAGATCAGGAATATCTGGAGAAAACAGCCACTATCTTCTGTTGGTATAAAACAGTTTCTAGCTAAACTTATGTTCTAAACAGCTTTATACTGGGATTAGTATTTTTTTGTGTGTTTTTAAATAAATCCTGGACATTCCATTTACGAAAACGCTTTATACACATTTAAAGGAGCTATAACAATAGTGATTCTTGTTCTACTACAAAAAAAACCCCGCACATTTAATTATACTCTTTTTTTTTTACACTCTATTTGTTCTTTTTTTTTTCTTACATCTATACTGTGCTCTCCTATTTTCCAAAATCCGAATGGCCCCTCAGTACCTGCACCATCCATCATCAGCTAACTGCTCTAAGTGGTGGCCTCCATAATCAATCACCACTGTGGCCAAGTAGCTAAAAAACCTCCACAAGATGAGGAAAAAAAAGAGAGAAAACTAAACAACTCCCCCAAAAGCAACTTAGAATAAGGAGCACACATGTAGGCTTTAAATGACAACTGTGTTTAATTCTTCCAATATGACTTGTTTATAGTTCAACAAAACAGTTTTAAATTGGGTATCTGGGTATGATTTTCATATTGATTATAGAAATTTTATTTTAAGTTCAGTACAGTCATGTTTAGAGGTGCTTGGAAGCATTGCAGTGGGATAAGCCAGATTTGTCAGTACAATTTTACTTGGAATGAAGGCTATTTGCTTTATTTTAAAGCCCCCACTTTGTTAGATTCTGTAAGTATTTCAGTGTTAAAATGGGAGTGGGAGTGGGGAGAATGAGAAATCCACGCTGCATATAAACCAATTTGTGAACTGATAAATGCTCGGGGATGGTAAAACTCCTTGCCTGCCAGCCTCTGAGTTCTCCAGATGGTCTGTTCCTCCTTTGGTCAGTCATTGCTTTCTATGAAACCAGAAGTATCCCCCATGGGTTAAGCTTTGAGTTAGAAATTCCAGAGAAACAAAGAAACAAACAAGCAAACAAAAAGTCATTGATACAGGTCTGCTCAGTTTTGTAAGGGCCAGAACTCACCCAGTCCTTTACCCGTTTAATTTGGAGGCTTCTTCTTGCTCAAGGTCTTTGACAGACTCCAGCCATCAACTCTGATGACTGGAAAAAAAATTAGGCCCTTTCTCAGTTACTACCCTACAAATATCTTCATTTGTTTTTCAGCAGACTTCCATATCGCAGATTCACAGAATCACACGGGGTTGGAAGGGACCTCTGGAGATCATCTAGTCCAACCCCCTGCCAAAAGCAGGTCCACCCAGAGCAGGTTGCACAGGAATGTGTCCAGGTGGGTTTTGAATGTCTCAAGAGAAGGAGACTCCACCACCTCCCTGGGCAGCCTCTTCCAGGGCTCTGCCACCCTCAAAGGAAAGAAGTTCCTCCTCATGTTTAGGTGGAGCTTCTTATATTCAATTCATATGGCACTGCTCCTCCAGTGAGGCTGAACTGTGGTAGACTTTGGGTTTACTTTGGGGTTTTTTTAAAGAAAAAACATGGTGACATAAGGGGTAGAGTGTGGGATTCTCAGTGAGTGAATTGACTTTAGGGACAGTAATTTCATGCTGGCATACACTTGAGAGATTTAAAAATCCAGGCCAGTAATCCTCAACAACATCCTTTCAGTAAACAATAAAGACATTTGCTCATTTGTCAGCGAGCTCAGGAACCGACACCATGGCTATCAAAATGTGAACGCGTCTGGTTGCAGCAAATAACAGAGGAAAATGGAATTTGGGGAGCCAAAAATAACCGCTGGCGCGTTGGCTGGGCTCTTATGAGCAAGTCTGATTACAAGCCAGTAAGCATTTATTGGATGATAAATAGCAAAGTACTTCTATTACTCGTAGTTTGGGATGCAGCAGGCTGACAAAACACAGGCTGGGGTGCTGTCAGGGTGCCCTCCAGTCTTGGGGACCGGGCAGGCTTTACACAAACACCCGCTGCACACCAACTGATGAGCTGTTTCCAGAGAAAACTTTCTTCTCCCTTTGAAATTAATGTACATTTTCTGGGGGAAGTACAGCAGGTTGTTTCATGAGACAAATTAAGTGGCAGCACCCAACTCTGTGGCCAGGGGGAGGCTGCGTGGCTGCAGGTAAGGAGGAGAGACCTCCATCTCACTCAGGAGAGCCCCGGCCTTGGGCACAGTGACTGAACAAGGTCCGGATCACTCAGGAGAGCCCCGGCCTTGGGCACAGCGACTGAACAAGAGGTTCAGTCATGAGAGGTCCCACCTCACGCTGGTGGTGGCCTGTGGGTGCAGCCGGCACCTGAGCTTGGCTTTGTTGCTCTCCATGCACAGTGATGGCGGCTGAGGGCAGGGTGCTGGGCGAGGGGCACAGGGAGACCCTTGTACACCACGATGGGCTCAGCTTATGCTCTGGAGATGGATTGCAAGGGCCAGGACATGAGGAAGGTCTTATGGTCCCTGGTGTTGTCCCCAGAGAGCAGCCCTTGCTTTCACTCGCACTAGGCCATGAGTTTTTACTCTCCCAAAATGGCGGCTCAGCACAGCGGCTGGCAGGGCCCTGTGATCCCATGGCCATTTTTGAGTCCGCAGCAAGCAGGGGACAACGGGCTGTGTCCAACCAGCGTGTGGCTGTGTGTGGCACCTTCAGCCAATGCTTGAGACAAAGGTGTGAGCCTCTCCTTTTATTTTTGGGGTGTTTTTTTTTTTTCTGAGCTCCTGCAGCTCCCACAGCTGTGTCAGGCCTAAGGCCCTCAGAACCCTGGCAAGCACAGTGTTTTGGGAGCCAGTACGACCCCCTCAGGATGGGTGGCCGTGAGGGGAGCCGGTAAGACCCCCTCAGGATGGGTGGCTGTGAGGGGGGTAAGAGGCAAGGGCCAAGCCTCTTGGTCTAATGTGAGTACAAAAATGGAGGGAAATTCAGCTGTGAGGGGAGCCGGTACGACCCCCTCAGGATGGGTGGCCATGAGGGGAGCCTGTACGACCCCCTCAGGATAGGTGGCTGTGAGGGGGGTAAGAGGCAAGGGCCAAGCCTCTTGGTCTAATGTGAGTACAGAAATGGAGGGAAATTGAGCTGTGAGGGGAGCCAGTAAGACCCCCTCAGGATGGGTGGCTGTGAGGGGCGGAAGAGGCAAGGGCCAAGCCTCTTGGTCTTGGTCTAATGTGAGTACAAAAATGGAGGGAAATTGAGCTGTGAGGGGAGCCAGTAAGACCCCCTCAGGATGGGTGGCTGTGAGGGAGGGAAGAGGCAAGGGCCAAGCCCCCCGGTCCAATGCGAGTACAAAAATGGAGGGAAATTGAGCTGTGAGGCTCCCACAGCCAGGGCTGGGCAGTGAACTTGCTACAAGGCTCATGGCTCAACCAAGCTGAGGTGGGTTTTGGTGGGAGCAGGCTCAGATTTTCCTTTGCTGCCAAATCCCTGAAAACAAAACAAAAAAACCCACAGGTTTCTCAAAAAAGGTGGTGGCATAGAGGGTTGAGGAATTTAGCTAGGAGTTAGTGTAGGGTTTCTTTAGAGCTTTACCTGCCTGTGCTTCAGCTGAGGTGAATCTCAGGCCTCCTGTGCCTGGGGGGTAAAAGCCATGCTGGCATCTGCATCACCCAGGCAGATACAGGTAACCCTAATTTTCTAGGATACAAGATCTCAAAGATTTGGACTTAGACATTGGCTAAAGGGGAGCTCCAGCAACACACGCTGTTAACCACAGGGAGAGGGACAGGATTCAGCACAAGGAGATGTAAAAACCTCAAGGAAGAAAATAATAATAATAACAGAAGCAGACCCCAGCTTCCCTGGGAAATTCCATCCCATCCTCCCTGCCAATGGCTGCTACTTGGCTTTTTCTGGCTTTTCGGTGGGTTTTACTCCTTCCTGGTTACATGTGGAGAGGTAGCAGGCCTGTCACATCTACCTGTCAGCCCCACCTGGCAGAAGGGTTGACCTGCTAGCAAGTGCACAGCTGGCTGTAGTTACCAGACCCTTCACCTGTGAGCTAATTGCACAAAGATTTTCCTTTACATTCAGGCATTACTGGCAACCAATAGAAAGCAAGGAGTCACATCAGGGTAGGATTTAAAGGCCAGAACAACTTCCTCCCCCACCTGTTGAGTTTTTACTGACTTCCATTTGATTAACAGGGTAAGTCTGAGGCACAAGACAGGAATGTACTCCAGTGAGAGATAGAAGAGGGAAAAAAAAAAAAAGAGGCAAACAGGCTTTGTCTTCTGCTATCCAGCAAATCCCC